CGAATAGAGATTGATATCAACCGTACAACGGAGACCGTAGAGGCAGCAGGTCTGGACGAAACTTTGCACGGAATGATCGAGGTCAAAGTTCACGGGGACTTAGTACTTAGGAAGGTCACATTAAACATCCAAAATCCAAATGAAGATACGACCCCATTTTAATTTTTCTATTTTTCGACTAACACTTGCAGGTTATCGACTAGGAGCGGCACAAAGCTTTGGATCTTAAAGCACGCATTGCACTCTTTTTCCCTTGAACCATTTTTGTCCCAATTGGGTTTTTCGGTAAGGTTTTTAATGAGGCAACATCGTATCGTGCTAACTTAGAATTGAAGGCCGACCGCGAATCGGTGTCAAAGACAGAATTTAACAATATCCGAGATTCCCTATAATAAACCTCGAATACTGGGGGGCCACTGCCTTTGAATGTCAACTTTGTTGCGAGGAAATTACTTCATAATGACAGAGTCTCAATAGGGCCCACATAGGTTGTTCGAGCCCCGGCTCAAAACATGTACGCATGTGTAATCATTCTTCTCAAGAATGAAGAGAAGTATTTTTCCTTGCAGTTATCTCATCTCTTAAAAAAAAACTTTTTCTACTTTACAGTTCCATGCTTTCAATCTATTATGGGAACGAGCTTAAGGGCCGATCATAACCAGAGTTTGGATAATTAACCCCACGCATGGGGACTGCCGTCCGAAAACAAACGAGATCGAATTATTAAAACTTTAAGATCATAAGACCTTAAAGGTGACCCTCGATTTTTATAGGCCACGGACACCCCACTCGGGGACTGACACTTCGAGCAAGCTCGAAGTGAAACGGGAAAATAAGCCTAAGAGGCAAGTCCCAAATAAAAAGGCTACGGCCAAATTAACACGGTTCGGAGACGTTCGAATTTCGTAAATAAAACAGGCCTTCGAATATTTTTATTAACCGATTAAAAGGGCTACTCTCGGCAAAATTATAAAGGGATCGATAACATCATGCCTTGAAAACTCTAATGAGTATAAAATTGTTCGAACTCTCGAACAATCCCTTATTTCATTCTAAGGCATTACAGATTTTACAAATACAAATGACAAACTTTTCAAGCCGAAAAAGGGGGAAAAATCCATAAACATTGTTTATACAAAGGCCATATCAGCCTAATACAAAAGCCCAAGGGCTACCTTATCTCGAGTTCGAGCAAGTCCTCACTCGATCATAAAAGCCTAAGGGCTACCTTTACTTCGATTTCGAGCAAGTCCTCACTCGATTACAAAGCCCAAGGGCTAGCTTAACCCGAGTTTGAGCAAATTCTCGCTCGGGGACTACCTAACAATCCCAAGGGCTACTTTATCTCGAGTTCGAGCAAGTCCTCACTCGATCATAAAGGCATAAGGGCTACCTTCACTTCGAGTTCAAGCAAGTCGTCACTCGACTACAAATCCCAAGGGCTAACTTAACCCGGATTCGAGCAAATTCTCACTCGGGGACTACCTATCAAGCCCAAGGGCTACCTTATCTCGAGTTCGAGCAAGTCCTCACTCGACCATAAAGTCTAAGGGCTACCTTCACTGCGAGTTCGAGCAAGTACTCACTCGACTACAAAGCCCAAGTTCTAACTTAATCCGAATTCGAGCAAATTCTCACTCGGGGACTACCTATCAAGCCCAAGGGCTACCTTATCTCGAGTTCGAGCAAGTCCTAACTCTACCATAAAGCCTAAGGGCTACCTTCACTTCGAATTTGAGCAAATCCTCACTCGACTGTTAAGCCTAAGAGCTACTCAAACTCGAGTTCAAGTGGTCATTCGGGGGCCATCGATTGGAAATGGTTGAGGGCGGTACTTATTGTCGGTCCTTACCATCTCAAACTTTGGACCTTCAAAAACAACTTCTTAATTTTATGCTAAGGCGCTTTGACCTGTACAAAAAAGGATAACAAATTCAGAAGCCATGGAAGGGAAGAGGTTTTATGTATTCATCAGAACCTTTTTACAAGGGCAACACGGCCCGATGGAAGTTCTTTATAAAAGGCCAAAGCAGCCTTGACAGGAATACAAAACTAACTAAAAGCCTAAGTGGTCTGGTCATCTCCGGGAGTGGCGTCTCCGCCCTCAGGGTCTTCTGCACTTTCAAATTCGCTCAAGCTTTCGGATTCGTTGTCATCATCGAGGTAAGATAATTTCTCAGCCTCAGCTTCAAGCTTCTTAGTGCGCTCGGTCTCGGTCAAACGATCAAAGCCCGAGCATGAATTTCTTCAAGGGTCTTCATCCGAGACTGACACTTTTGGCGCTCAACGACCTTCTTTGCCCGAACCTGAGCAGTTTCCTTTTGTGGAACAGTTTTAGATGTATTTGGACATTTTGTTTTTGTAAGCAAGGAAGAATAGAGATTGGAATATTTGGTGTTTTGGGAAGAACAAGCAAAGAAGCTCAAAGACTCAAGTCATTTCTTGTCATTACACTCCAAAAAACGAGGGGACTATCTGTATACGGTCGAAATCGGGCTTGCCTAATCTTGTATGGCTGACCGAAATCGGGGTGGTAGAACAAGGCTTGGCCTCAATTATATCGGACCATGGTACATATATGGATTGGTAAGCTCGTGGATCAATGACCGATCAAGATCGAGACCAGCCGTGGTCGAGATCGAAGCAAGAAAGAGATCGAAAGAGATCAAAGGAAGCCTGCCAGGTCGAATAACAGAAAGACGAGATATCCGTGATCGGGCAAGGATCGTGGCGAAAATCTCGGCACGTAGCAAGTCAGGACCGGTTATTTAGCCTATCATGGGATTTACTCCTATAATTAGAATTATGCCATAAATAGTTGGATTCTTCCACTATATAAAGAGGGCCCTAATCATTTTGTATATCTATACTATATTAAAAGCACGAAGGTCCTTATCGAAATGTCGTTCGTCTTTTTTACCCTTTTAAAATATAGTTCACATTGGACAAAATAGTCATTAAATTATTCTCCTAATATTTAGAAATAATTATTTAATTATTTTCCTAATATATAGGAGCATTTATTTAATTATTTTATAATATTTAGGAGTATTCATTTAATTATTTTTCTAATATTTAGGATTTTACTTTTTTAATTCTAGAGTTTCTGCACTTTTCGATCCAAACTAGGAAAGTTTCATCCACTTTATAAGGTTTTGTTTTTTTAATAAAGTTTTTAAAATTTCAACTCCATTCAAATTAGGAGTAATATATTAAAGAGAAAAAAACATTTTAAAAAAAGGGTTGAAAGGAAACAGGTGAAAGATCTCATGTATGTCAACGACGATGGGATTTTGTTCTTATTTCCAGCTTTTGTTTCATTCACTTAATTATTGTAGTGTTGGTACAATTCATATAGCATTAGAAAACATCCAATTAAGAATTTAAATAATATTGTAATTTATTGACTTCAAAATATTAGATATCAACAATAATAAAACAAGGATTGAAATAACTCTTAAAATAGTATTTGTATATATGACACAAGACTAAATGTTATTTTTTACTAAAAGTAATAATAGTAATAATGTATTAATAAATACATATAGAATATGTAAATAATGTATTTGGTATTCTGTATTATTTTCTAGAATGTATAATGTATAATTAGGTGAATGACAGATAAAACAAATGAATCACAAAGATTATAATTATCTGATTCCACAAAGGTGTTTGTTGAACATGTTTTATTCCAAAAACATCTAATAATGTACTATAAATTAAAATAATTATTTAATTTTTAATATTAAACTTTAAAATTATCTAAAATTTTATTAAATTTTTCTATGAATTAAGTCGGACTCCTAATATTAGAAATTTAAAATTGAATAACATTTTGCTTGCTTTGCAATATCTATCTATTTATCTATACTATATCAAAAATATAAAGGCTTTTATTTAATTTTATTTTATAATTCATGGCAGATAAATTAAATATTTATATAATTTTTAAGAATTTTATATTCAATGATATGGATACACGCGCAACGCGCTTACCCTATGACTAGTATACATTCACGCATAACCAAGCAATATATTACATCTTTTCTTTTAAGCTCTCTCAAGTTCTGCTGTTTACTTCATAATTTTTAGCATAATTTGTTGCTCGAGGGCGATGTAGCTCGAGGGCCACAATTGTTCATCACATTGGTTTGCTTTATTTTACTGTTAATTTCTTACGTTAATTTTTATATTTATCAGTTTGTGCCAAGTGAAATCACATATCCTTAAAACCACTTATAAGTCTAATTGTTATCCAATTTTAAGGGTAAACAATATCTTTTTTATTCCCTCCGTTTTAATTTGTGTGGCTATAATCGTCACATTAAGAATAAAGTGAAAAGCTTAAAATTAAATTATTTCTAAATAAAGAAGTATAACATTTTTCCGGGGACTGAATTATAAAAACTAAAAAGGAAAGAATTTATATCACAAAAAATTGGAACAGAATGAGTATTATAATCAGAGAAAAAGTAAAGTTGCTGCTTTTTGAAAAGTAATCTAGTTTTAGAAAAAAAAAATTATTCACACTCAGCGTTTGCACTAACCAAATGAATACTATGTTATATGTCTTTATTATATTATTATCAGCGTTTGCTCTAACCAAATGAATATATATTATATGTCTTTATTATATTATTATCACTTAATTAACTAGCACACATACTCACTTCAAGTATTTTTATCACTTAACAAAGTAAACTGCAGTAGGTTGGTGTAAACACATATGTATATAAGCCCATACGGTTGGAGAATATTGACTATGAGTTCAATTGAACTAAGTATTTAAACATGGAATGTCAGTGATAATTAATATATACAAACAACAACTGCTACGTCTTTATTCTAAACAAGGTGAGGTCGGTTTTATAAATTTTTACTAACCATTTTTCTCTATTTAAACTAATGTCATCATCATAATATATTATTGATTTATATATGGAAATAAAAACCAAATTCTGAAACCCATAATTAATTTAAAAGTACACTAACTTCTGTGCTAAAAATGTAAACATTAAATCCATCAAATTTAAATTTGGTATTCACAATAAGTTATATCACCCCTAGGTTCTGAGTTACTAACACCACTATATATATACCTGAATCTCTCCGTAGTTTCTTCCCTCAGAAAAGCAAGAAGAAAAAATGGCAGAAGAGTCCATAAACAACCATGAAACAAGAAAGCAAGTTTTCTTTAATTCCTTATTGCCCTAAATATATTTCTTTCTTTTAGTAATTCTTTTTTATTCAATGTGTAGTATATTCTTATTTCAGGTATGCAGTAGTTACAGGGGGAAACAAAGGAATAGGATATGAGATTTGCAGGCAACTAATGAAGAAAGGAGTGATGGTAGTGTTAACAGCTAGAGATGAGAAAAGAGGAAAAGAAGCTGTTGAAAAGCTGATGAGAGAGGGCAGCTTAGATCAGAATCTTGTTGTTTTTCATCAAGTTGATGTTGTGGATCCAGCTAGTGTTTCCTCTCTTGTTGACTTCATCAAATCTAAATATGGAAAGCTTGATATTCTGGTAACATCCCCTTTTTCCAATTATACACAACAATATATATATATATATATATATATATATATATATATATACACACACACACACTCTCCATCCGTCTCCACAACTATCTCAAATTATTTATCATTTTAGAAGTTCAGGACTAAATTAATTATTTTTTAAACTATTTTATCCTTAATAATAATTGTTCTTGAAAATCACAAATACCTCAATTATGAGTAAAATATTAATGAAGAGAGATTATATCCTAAGACATAAATAAGGGTAGAACAGTCAAAAATATCTCCTATTTAGTATTTTCTTAAGGGTCATATAAAAGATAAGCACAACAGATAATTTAAGACAGAGAGAGTAGGAATTACTCCCTCTTTTATGAGATGTAGTTCAGATTTCGAAAACAAAAAAATTTAGTTTTTACCCAAATATCTTTTATATGACTTTTAAATATTTTGAATTGTTATTGTTGTAACTTAAATTATTTTTTATGTAGTTTTAAAAAATATGTTTAATTAAATTTCCTATAGCCAAATTTGCGATCAAAATTAAAAAGTTTGATTTTCGGAATTTGAAATGCTATCACATAAATTAGGACAGAGAGTACATAATTTCATAGTTTTAAACCTTACGAAGGAAAAAGGTTTAATTTCATAGCTCACTATCCATATCCTTAATATAACTTTTTGTAATGTTTAAAGAGTGTTTTTCACCCGATATAATTTATCCGATAAAAATTGTTATATAAAATATTTTTCAGAAAAATATTATCGAGTAATTGGACTATTCTATCATTATTTATGTCATAAGATATAATTTGTCTTCATTGAATATTTTATTCTATTTATGTGTTATTATCAGCTTCAAGAACAATTATTACTAAGGGTAAAAAAAGGAAAAAAATAATCAATTTTGTCTTGAATTTTTAAAATGACAAATAATTTGAGATAACTATTTTTAGTAATCATGAATGTTAATATGAGACGGAGAAAGTAGAGTTTATTAGTGGACGACTTTTGCTATACTAGGAAAATATTCCATTTTTCTAGGAACTATCGTACGAACGAGCCGTGGAGAAATAGAAGCACCATAGGTGGACCAAACTCGTCAATATATTATCTCTAGTTTTGATATATAGGGAATCCAGCGCCAATACCTGAACCACATAATTTGGAAATGATTTATCTTGAGCTGCTCATATAAAATAATTTGTTTGAATTTCAAATTACTAATCGTACGCTTTATGAATGGTTAAACACGTATATTTCTTAAGTTATTTTTTAGTTATAAAAATCTCTGACACTGCTAATGTATAAAATAGAGTTAAAATTTTGGAAATATCTATTTTACAAGCATATGAAACACAACATATGTATGCAACTAGTTGATTTGTTAAGAAATTTTAGGTTATTAAAACTCTCAAAAACAGAATAACGAGACAAGTTTATTAATATAACTCTAATATGAGACACATTAAGTAATAGAAAGGGTTATCTTATGAGTTGGTTAATTAACTTAGGAACTAACAATAAACCATCATAAACTATTGCACGAGTTGCAAGTTAAATAATATTTCTGTTTATTTTTATTTTCCACGAGAATCTGAATTAAGGAGAAAGATCACTTGTGTATTTGTTCACTTTACCTTCCATACTTTTTTCTTTTGGAAATAACCTTCCATAATTAGTAACTAAGAAAGTGTGAAAGTGGATAATTTGCAGGTAAATAATGCAGGAATTAATGGACTAATGATTGAGGGAGATGTAACAATCCTTCCAGAGCTAATAGAAAGAGATGCTGCTCGAGCTTTAAGCATTACAACTGAGGTTACTTCATATATTTTTCTTTATTTCTCTTTACATTTTCATAACAACACGATGCTACTGGTTGTGTTTTAAAGATTCATACAGTCGATCCTAATTTTATATAGGATTGAAGCATAATTTGTTGAGTAAATGATCTATCGAGTTTTTGATATAGTTATCTGTAAAATATACTAATTAATGCAGGAGGGTGAAGCTCCAATCAAGTCAAATGGAAAACTCATAGAGACTTTTGAATGGGCAGAAGAATGTGTAACCACTAATTATTATGGAGCAAAAAGAATGATTGAAGCCTTTATTCCGCTACTCCTCTTGTCTCCTTTACCAAGGATTGTTAATATTTCTTCATTGCTTGGAAAAATTAAGGTAATCCTAACTTAACCTTTGGACTATTTCCTTAAAAAAAACATTGAAATTGCGGCAGAATGGCCTAAATGGCACCTATACTTGTGTCACTTTGTTATGCCGGTCCTCCTACTTCACTTTTTTTCATCCGGACGCTTCAACTTGTTCAAAATCTATATTTTAAACCCCTCTGACCGTTGACCAAATACATGTGGCAAAATAATGGTTAAGCTGGACAAAGTGGGTGTAATTTACGCGAATAATGAGCGTGACTATGAATATTTTGAACCAAAAATAATTAAAATAAAAAGAAAAAATCATTAAAATAAGAACAAAAAGTAAATAAGTAAAAAAAAAGAAAAAAGCATTCTGTTCCTCCATTTTCGGTCCCCCCCTCTCCTATTTCTTCTTCTTCTTCCCACCCCCACACCCTCCAGTTTCTTCTTCTTCTTCCCCACTCCCCCTCCCCCAAACAAACCCCCTTGTTCCTCCCCTTCTGTTTCTTCTTCTTCTT